TAACTAACTAGGGAGGATACACCTAGTGACACTGTTGCTCGTGATTATCATCATAATGTAAATTTGTTATGTCATATTTTTTCCAAAATATGAGTTATTTCCAAATCCTGAACATAACTGCATGTTGCAGGGACCTGTAAGCTACTTCATGCCACTCCCTAACAACATTTGGTAAAATAAAGAGATGGTGTGACATCACTACCTTTTGTGTTTGCATGTGCCCTAAAAGTAGAAGAGAACAAGCTCCAACTGGGGAGAGGAACAATGGGACACAATGACACCCTGTTCAATGATAGCTGTACATCCCAGGGTGCATCTACACCAGGGGTAGGCAACCTTTCCCCTTTAAGGGCCGAGGGACTTCAGCTCCCAGAATCCCAGGAGCTATTAGCCAACAAGGGACTATTGGCCAACATGGCTGAGGCTTCTGGGAGCTGAAGTCCTTCGGCCTTTAAAGGGGAAAGGTTGCCTACCCCTGATCTACACTGTAGAAATAATGCCGTTTGACACCACGTTAAGTGCTATAGCTCCATCCTATGAAATCCTGGGACTTTTAGTTTTACAAGATCTTTAGCTTTCTCTGCCAAGGAGGGCTGCTGCCTTACAAAAGCACAAATCCCAGGATTCTGTAAGGCAGAGCCATGGCAGTTAAAGTGGTTTCAGATGGTATTATTTCTACAGTGTAGATGCACCCCCAGTTTTACGTACTTGAGCTAGAGATATGGGACAGGTAGACAGGAGACTAGGGCTAGCATTCTGTTAGTGGCATACTATTATATATGTCTGTTCTTGTTGTTGCTCTTCTTGTTGATGTTGTTGATATTGTTGTTGTTGTTCAGTATCTCCTTCACAAAATGACCCCAGAAAAATCTCCTGCCCCTTGCTGTCTTTCCTCAGTATGGTTATGTAGTTGCTGCGGGCAAGTAAGAGTAGCTAAGATGCATCTGGCAATGTTACTGTACCTTGTGTTGCCACATTCCACTTCTTTAAATCCAGGTATCCAAATTGCAAATTATGCAAATTGGTATTAGTAAATATGCTACTTACCATGTTTGCTAATTGCTAATTGTTGGATTTTTTTAATCCACCAATTCAACCATCCATGGCTTGAAAATATTCCAAAAAGTTAAACCTTGATTTTACTACTTTATTTAAGGGATATCATTTTATTATGCCATTGTACATGATGAGACTTGAGCATCCATGGATTTTGGTATCCACAGGTCATCCTGAAACCAAACCCAGTAGAGACCAAGGGCCCACTGTATTAGTAAATATGCTAATTAGCATACTGTGCAAATTGTTCTCATTTTGCTAAATATTATAATTATGCAAATTCAATGCAAATCCAGTACCTGCATTGTCGCTGGAGTTTTGTTCTGTTATGTTGCAACTTTATACCATTTATTTTTTACAGCTACAACTGAGCTGCATAAACCAGTACTGAGTTTAGAATGCCAGAATCGGAACAGGGAAACCCACATTCAGATCTCTACTTGGTGACAGAATTTACTGTTTGATCTTGGGTCACCACTCTTCAAATCTTGAAAGAGATTCCAGATCAACATTAGGAGGAACTTCCTGACAGTGAGAGCTGTTCAACAGTGGGACACACTCCCTTGGAGGGTGGTGGAATCTCCTTCTTTGTAGGTTTTTAAACAGAGGCTGGTTGGCCATCTCTCAGGGGTACTTTGATTGTGTATTACTGCATGGTAGGGAGTTGGACCGGATGGCCCTTGTGGTTTCTTCCAACTCTGTGATTCTATGATTCTACCTTACAAAGTTGTTCTGGAAATTAATAAGGAGAGGGGAAGTGTGCAAATTGTGCGTGTATACATTCCTGCTTCAATACATATAAAAGAACACAACAATAATATTAACATTTTGCCACACACAGGAACTTCCAGGATATTCTCATCATATCACTATTTTTGCCATCATTTTTTAATGGAGGTAAAAAGGTACAGATCAGTGAAAATATCACAGGGTAAGGTGGAGGAACATAAGGACAAACAGCAGTAACCTAAAGGGGAAAAACATGGTCTGATTTCTTTCACAGATATAGATTGAGGACAGGGGGGCCTGGAGATGTCTCTTCCATAGAGTCGCCATGGGTCGAGACTGACGCGAAGGCAGTTAACAACAAAAATTTTACTTATAACAAGAAACTGTAATTTTCTTTGACCTATTTGACATTTTATCACAGTGTATATACCAGCATGGTGTAGTGGTTTATGTTGAACTACAACTCTGGAGACCAGAGTTCGATTTCCCGCTAGGCCATGAACCCAGTGGATGACCTTGGGCAAGTCACATGCTCTCAGCCTCAGGGAAGGCAATGGCAAATCTCATTTGAACAAATCTTGCCAACAAAAGCCTCTGATAGGGTCACCATAAGTTGGAAATGACTTGAAGGCAAACAACAACAACAAGAAGAAGAAAACATGCTAAGCAACTCACCTAGGCTAATATGTCTGTGCTCCCACCCAATTATTGTTTGTTAATGGAAGTTAAGGTAATGATAAACTATAAATTATCTCCTGCCATCTCAACCAAGTGTATAAATATCTTCCAACCAAGGCAGCACTCCTTACATCTGATAAAGTGGCCTGCAGTCTGAAAAAAACATGTGCTAAATAATCTTGTCACTCTTAAAGGACAGATTTGGTTGGATAGATAAGAGTAGACACTAGATGCTATTGTTTTTGCTGCAGTGCACCCCTCTTATTGCTCCTTGCTGTCTGCAGTGCTCATTCTCTGTTTTCTCCTACTCCCTCCATCACATCACCTCACATCCTTGCACTGCAGTGGCTGCTTATTCTTTCTTCCCTCGTGCCTGAAAACCAGGAGCAGATTTGTTTCTTGCAGAACAATTTGACAGAAGAGTGCCTCCATATTATGCCCTCATCTTGATTCCTACAAGGTCCAAAGACTGCCTTTTTTAAAAAAAAATTAAAAAGTATGGAATCTTGACCAGATGATGGTCCAAAATAGCACCAGGTGCCATGCCTAGTGGGTAAAACAAAACCAACTGGATGATACAGCAAATGTAGCTATAGCCAGATGTACAAGAATCAAGGCATGCTCCAGGATCTTCTTGGGGTTCTCTGTAGATCCCAAAGGATGACAGCATTGAGCTTCTGACTATCATACTATAGCCAGCTGTTTCGTGGCTGCTCTTCATTGTCCCCTGGCCACTACATATTTGGGGAAGGCCAGCAAGAGACGAGTTTTCAGGGAGAAGAGTTGGGAGCCGGGATGTAGTTCTACGCCCCAACACAGAACTGAAATCAAAATTTGTAGCTCTTTTCCACATGAAAAGTAGAAGTAACATAACTTGTCCAAAAGAACCAGAGATGCACACGTTAATTAATATGGGCTTGTAAAGGTGGAGGCATTAAACTACAGGACCAGTTGTACTAGTAAATCAAAGCGAAGCAACCTTCTCAGATGTAGATGCTGAGAGACAGTAATGGCAACCACCCAGGTGTGCCTCCTAAGCCTTCTCCTTTTCCTGGAGAACAAGAACCCCTACCTTTGTTCACGGAAGACCCAAAAGCTAATCAGACAGTAATTACAGAGATTTCATGTGTTTTCTGAGTCTTTCTAGTTGGGGGAAAAAGAAACAAGAAATAACCAGAGAGAGGCAGATAAAATATAGCCTAAGAGTAGATCTAGATAAGAAAGAGGCAAAAACAACAGGGGATCTATCTGCCTATACCCCTCTCCAGTTCAGATTTTAATTTCCAACAGCTTCCAAGCAGACATGCATAAGCCTGCACTGTTACTGCTTAGGATGCTGCAGGACTCTTATTGATTTCAATAGAACTTCTTTGAAATTATTTTGGTTGCAAACTTTGACATATATTGAATCTTCAGATGGGCCAGATATTCTAAAATTAGCTATTCTTATCTCCTCCTTCAGCTGGATGCACTGTTCACACTTTCCTGCATTCCTAATTTATCTCCTTATTTTCATGTCCAATGCTGACCTTCTTAAATATGTGCACACAACAGAAAACACAGTATTTCTCGCAGAGATTGCTGATCTCCACAGATATTGGGGCAAACGTGCCTCCCCACTCCATGCCTGTCATCACAAAATACAATTGACAATTCTACCACTCCCAAATAAATTCCCTCTTGCTTTGCTCGGAGTGATCGCGAAATATTTCGTTATTCCCAGAACCCGAAACTTAAGACAAATTGCTGAACTCAAAGACTCCTTGCCTTGCCAATTTGGGAAGGATCCAGATTAATTTTTTCCCCTGAGTCACTTAGCATACCAAACTTCCTGCTTAAACAAACTCAGCGGCAAAAGAAAAAAGAAAAAGAAAAGAAAATTGCACTTGAGTCAAGATACACATGCCCTGGCGTGGCTTCAGAAAGCCTCAAGTCAACACATGCAAACAGAGCCCTGAGGGCTCAGCAGTATCCAATTCCTGAGTTAAAATTTGATATAAAATGTAAATATGTATTCCAATCAAATGTGTGAAAAGTTGAAATGTTTCCCTGTCTTTGAATTTCAAATGGATTTATACTTCTAATCGGTTCCCACCCACCACCATCCTCTTCCCAAGGGTTTGGGGTGAATATGCAAGACTTAACAATAATTCAAGTGTAACCAATAAAATGAATTGTTCCTGAGAGTCAATCCACATGCATAAGCCAGTTCCCAAGATTGGAGCATTGCAACAAGAAACAAAGCCTGGCCAAGGATGTGTGGATAAAGGGTTGAGGCAGATAAAATAACTGGCTCCATGGTTCCCATTGACTTCCATAGAACAACACAGCCCTCAGTCTGCATGGGAAAGATCCTAAAACCAAAGGCCCTTTCGTACTATGTCTACATGGTTATAGTAGTGTATGTGATACACTACTATAACTACCTTCATCTAGGCTTCTTGAGATATTCAGTGTTTTCTACCTGACAAAGGGATTTGTGGCCTCACAAAGGACTGAGACATCATGCATCTCAAAAGAAGTACCTTTTTTGTGTTGCAAATGTGCTGTAGTGGTTTGAGTACTGGACTAAGAAACCAGAGACCGGGGTTCAAATCCTCGCATGGCCACAGAAACCTACTGGCCAACTCATACTCTCTCAGCCTCGGAGGAAGGCAATGGCAAACCCCTTCTGAACAAATCTTGCCAAGAAAGTCCTGTGAAAAGTTCGCTTTAGGGTTACCATCAGCCAGAAATGACTTGAAGGCATACAACAACAACAAAATGGAATTTAAATTTTATTTCCTGGGTTTTGTCTCCTAATACCAAATGGGCAGAAGAAAGAGTGGCCTGCCTGCACTATCCCTATTTTTTATCTTTTTGTATTTTTGTTCTTAAATTGTGATTGTTTATTTTAATTTTAGTATTAGATTGGGAAGAGACTAATTTTGAATTTTATTGTATTCCATGCACTTTTATTGTTGTAACCCACCCGGATTACTTGTGATTGGGTGGGGGAATAAATAAATAATTTATTATTATTATTATTATTATTATTATTATTATTATTATTATTCAGAACGGCAACAACATCTTGACAAAATGCAAGCTTATGATGACCATCATCAAATTTTTCTGTCCTATATTATTTTTAACACCCTTGCCCAAAGAAGAAGTAAGTGGAGCTTTGAAAGCTTGCAACATATATTTGCTCATTTGGGTTGGGCCAATAAAGGTCTCACTGTTTTGTGGATTTTGGATATTATTGTACTTTTTACTACATGGTGGTACTGCATGATAATGATTTCATTTTAACTGTGATGCTTCCAGCCAATGCAATCTGGAAATTTGCAGTTTAGAGAGACATATTTAAAACTCTCCAGCGTTCCAGTGCTTCACCAACCTATAAACCCTATGATTCCAGAGGAGACAGTTGAAATGAAAGTGGAACCATAGCACTGTAACTGTACTTGCTGCGTCTCCCTTATCCGGAATTCTAAAAACCAAAATATTCCAAAATCCAAAATTGTTCACATGGGTGGCCGAGATAGTGACAATTTTGTTTTTTGATGGTTCAGTGTACACAAACTTTGTTTCATGCACAAGATTATTTAAATTATTGTGTATAAAATTTTCTTTGGGCTATATGCATAAGATATATACAAAACAGAAATGAATTTCATGTTTAGACTTTGGTCCTATCTCCAAGATATCACATTATGCATTATGACTCTGGAGGCTAGGATTCAAATCCCCACTCAGCCATGTAAACCCACTGCGTGACCTTGCGCAAGTCACATTCTCTCAGCTTCAGAGGAAGGCAATGGCAACCCCCCATCTGAAGAAACTTGCCAAGAAAACCCCATGTTAGGTTCGCCTTAGGGTCACCGTAAGTTGGAAATGACTTCAAGGCACACAATTACAATAAATGACATATACAAATACTCCAAAATCTGGAAAATTCCCAAACACTTCTGGTCCCAAGCATTTCAGATAAGGGAGACTCAACCTGTAGCACATATCCTCCAGCTGTCTCAGTTTGGCAGGGGTTCTCCCAGAGAACTGTGCCATCCCACTTATTCAACTTCTTCTGAAATGTCCCAGTTTCTCTCTACTTTTCCCTCTTGGTGCTCAGCTTACTTCTATTGCTGCAAACTGAGTTCAAAGTTTGAAATAGTTTGAACTCAACTCAATGGGAGAAGAGGAGAGAATGAGATAATCTTGCCCCTCCCAATAGACTCAAACAAAAGCAAACTACAGCAGCCTTTTCTAGCTGGTGTGTTCTTTCAAATCAATAACTTTCCTCATCCTGACCACACTCTGATATTGCTTGTTAACAGGCATCCTAGTTTTCATCTTTAAAATGTTGGAAGGTAAGCAATATTTCCTTCCAACATTTTACAATTAGGATATAATTGCAACCACCATTACCACACTGAGGAGGACCACTCTAGACCAACAACCTGTTCTGTTAAAGTAAAAATCTTATTTGTTCTGATTTACTCTTCCAGAGCCAGCCCAAGCATTAAATCAAATGAGAAGCTGCCCCAGGCAGCAGCTTTGGGATATTATGAAATGGCAACACCCTGCATTTGCTTACATTTAACTGAATTTGCCAATTTAATGGCCATTCTCGATGGAATTCCCATAGAATCTCTCTAGATCATTTTGCTTTCCATTGTTTCTGAATCTCTTTAACTTATTAGATGTTGCCTGCAAATCTGGAGACATCCGACACCTTAAACACTGTGTCCAGTTCTGG